TGCAACCGTGGCAGCGTCTCGCCTCGCTTGTTTCAGCGCTGGCAGTTCATACCATCTGCAATAGAAAAATAGGCTTATGAGAGGGGCGGCACCGTTAGGCAAATACAACGATGTACTCCTTAATAAAAATGCAGTCGATATAATCAATAGTATGCGTTTATAGTCATCCGAGCACGCTTAAAATCCTTACCTGGAAGGTCATGGACAAGAGCTCACTATCGGTGTGGCCTTTGTAGCACCTCCCACCTCTATAAGATGTTAATTTGTACGTGTGCTCCCTAAACGGCCCGCGTGGCAGTGCGGCAGGCGTAATTCGGATTACACACGGAGAACAAAAGGGTAATGAAAGGGGCAGAACCGTTAAGCAATCAGAGGGATATCCTTCTTCTGATAAAGTTGTCGATGCATTCAACGCAACTTACTCATGTTCATCAGAGCACATTGAAACTTGACACATGGTCTCTCCTGGTAATTTACTCAGTGGTCATGAGAGCACACTCAAAAATCCAAACATGGTAGGTGGCCAAAGATCAGTGTAAGCATTTCTACCTTCAGAACGAGAACCTGACTGCAGTGGCTCCCCATTATTTTCGCTCTCACTAAACACATCTAAGGTGGTGTGTGGGTATGTGTGTGTGTTTGACACAGGTTACCAACGACTGCCTGAGGAACCTCTGCCTATCGGACATGCCACTGGCCACTTCGACAGGGAAGGCTAAAATGGATCCAAAGTTTATGTTCCCAAATATAAATAACCAACCAGACCTTTTAAGCCCACCAAAATGTGTTACAGTTGGCGTTTTGGAAGGATTTTACTTGATAACGCACGGTCAGATTGCAGTCATCCTATTTAAATACCCGACAATCCTTATTAAATCCTCGATATACGATACCGTGTGCAAACCCATTCCAAAACTAGGTCTCGATTAGATTTTTGTTAACCTAAGACAAAACAGGTAGAGGTTGATAGGACGGCCTAACAACAGCAGTAGCTTGCAAGCCATAACCGCGTCCAC